ATTATGATAAAATTGTTATATTTTATATTAATAATAAAGTATCATCATATTTTATTAATTATTCTGTTATATAACAGCTATTACAAAAAATCAATAAATTTCACCCTAAATAGTGATATAGCAACCAAGATAGCTCAGATATAGCAACCAAGATAGCTCGTTGAACCGGTAGGTGTGAGGCAATTGTGTTGTGAATTTTGTTTTGGTGCAAATATGTTGTGAATGTTAGGATGTGAGGCAAAAATTGTGTTGTTTACCTAGAATTTTTTGTCTATTTAAAGTTACATTTCATTCCTTCTACAAAAGATCATTATACCAGAAAAATTAAAACCATCAGCTTTATCATCACCAAGCTTACCAATCTCCACAATGAAATACTTAGCCCCACTTGTAACTGCCCTCACTCTAGCTTCATTAGCTTAGCTTCCCCAACAATGGAGTTGAAGACTATTGTAAGGCACGTGGATCATGACAAAAATCACAACGCAACCACATAGATGTTGTGATCCTGATCGAAATGAAATTTGTTATACACTTCATTTCACTTACTCAAGGTTTCATTATTATTCAACAAAATTAAACTGAAACAGGCAACTCTGAGGTAAATAAAACACATTTTTCTTTGTTTTTTTCTACACATGATTGAAATCTGAATTGTTCTACTACTATTACTACTCCAATTATCATACACATGCATAGTCTGACACGCATTTTTCTCGATTTTCTGTGGGTATATAATAATAGCCTCGAGCAGCACAAAAAGAAGAGAGGATTTCAAGAAGAGATTATACACACACATATGTATTGCTGTGACCACATGAATGCTGCTGTTTTGTTGGTTTTCTGAGTCATGTTGTCATCATCAGTTCACGATGTCTCATGTTCAATAAGAGTTTCTTAAAATAAAAAATATATATAACCCAATGAATACTCTTTACAAAATTATAGTTTTTTTTTTTTAAAAGCTGAATATAAAAATGCTTCTAATTAACCGCAAGAGTCCAACATCCGAATGAAATACATGAATCTCCAACATTAATTCAAAACCAAACTAAACTCTTGAATCTTGATATACCCAAATAAATCAAACTCTTGAATCTTGATATACCCAAATAAATCAAACATAGGTGCTCACGTTTCTTAAAATTCCTCTCTTACAAATCCTATATAAACCCCCCAGTGGCATTGGCATTGGCATAAAAATAATTACTAGGAAAACAAATTACATAGAATTAGAATAGGCATATATGGCGAAGTACTCATCCCTTGTGTTCTTCCTCTTCCTAGGCTTGTCGTGCCTCCTTTCCCTCGCCGTGAGCCTCGAGCAGGAGGTCAGCTACGAGAGCACTGTCAATCCCGAAGCTGTAGAACCCGAGTGGTTTTGGGGCATCCATCCCCATCCCCGCCCCTTCCCTTTCCTCCATCCCCGCCCCTTCCCTTACTTCCATCCCCGCCCCTTCCCTTACTTCCATCCCCGCCCAGGGTTCCCGTGGCCCCACCCACCCATTCCTGCCGGCTGGCCGCACTGGCCGTTCCCCCAGCCGCCTTTTGTTATTTATGAAAGTACTAGATTGAATAATATTTGGTTCCTTTTCTTTTATTCTGTTTACCTACGGTTTTCCTCGAATTCTACTTATTTTGTCCTTGCAAATCATCCTTCATAACATTTTCCTTATAAATATTCATCTATGTGTTAAATATTATCACGATTACGATTAATTAGAACTAAAAAAAAAAAATACTTGCATACTATTTAGTATAAACATTAGTAGCTTGATAAAATAGAACTCTAATGTTCAAACATATTATCAAATCTGTTCTATTGTTATATATCAAAAAGTCCAACATTTTATCAAACTCTCTTCACCTAAAAATTTTACCTTGTCTTTCTCATTGGCATTTACATACACTAAAGTCATTACCCATTAAGTTCAAACCTCCTACGTAAATATTTGAGCTTTATATATATAATGGTTTAATGTGAAAAATTTGGTGTGCGAGGAGTGGGCTACAAATAGCCAATATGTTGGCCCAATGGCATGTCCAACTGAATAAGACCCCAACAATTGAGGGCTTCTCATGGGCCCAAAAAACTAACTCTCTTGGTCTTGGTTGGAACCATGAGTCCTTGTGAAAACCGGCACGAAATTTATCCGAATAATGTAGTGTCGGTCATGTAATTGTCATAAAAATATTTATTCTTTTACAACAAAATCATTTTTATTTAGTATCGAGCGATTTAGAATTTGCACACTTTAGTAAAATTTTTGCTGAGAATTAGAAAAATAAAAAGATGATTATGTATTATGTACTTTGTAAAAATTTAATCACATTTTTATTGGTGAATGAGATAATAAGACAAGAATATATGTTCAATTGCAACATAAAACGGCGTCGATGCTTGTTTTTTTTTATATTTCTATGCGTGAGAAATTTCCAACCATTGTGATATATAGGCAAATCTGAAAGAATAAAATATATATTTCGTAGTATATGATTATTTTTTTTTCCTGAAATCGGCATTTAATCTCAATAATATGCATAATGTCACACACTTACATGTCAAGACTTTTGGTGTTTCTTGAAAGAATTTTGTGTATCATAATACTATGTATCAATTTTTTGTGCTTCCGAGTCATGTAGATTTGGAGTCTATTCCTACGTGTCAACGACCGGTGTTTTGAAATCATTGAAAATTCTATATTCAAAATGACTTAAAGGGATCTTCAGAATAGCCTCTCCATCAAGGGGATTAAAAGTTTTGCAAATCAAATCCTTACGCCACTCTTTATCACCTTGCCTAATCAACTCCCTGACTCTAATAATCCTTGATCTATCTCCCTTGAAATGGCATATGAGTTTGAAACAAGGCTGATTTGGGATCCAGGGGAATCCCAAACAAAAAATAGAATTCCCATATCTAACTTGCTAAGTAATCCCCAATTTCAAAGACTTCCTAGTCTCTAATCAACTATTCCAAAGCCAATAATTAGAGTTTCTAGGTTTGACCTTCATGAAATTTTCCTTTCAAACTCTACTTACTAACAGGTTAGGGTGAGTGATCAATCTCCACAATTGCTTAACTATTAAAACCTCATTAAAAGCCCTCAAATTTCTAAAACCTAATCTAACTCCCTCCTCGTTTTGGGTTTAGCTAAGTTATCCCTAAAAGCCCTCAAATTTCTAAAACCAAACCCTCCTCTCTTTTTGTGTTTAGCTTACAAGTTATCCCAACTAGTCCAGTGTATCCTCCTACCCCTGCATCGTTTTTTTTCCCCCAAAAATTTAGCCACCTCAATGTAAACATTCACCAAGACCAATGTGGTATCAGTATCACAACTCTTCAATATCATTCAAAAAAAAAAATGCATGATTTATTATATTATTTATAAATAAATGTCCAATGTACATAACTCGATCTAGCACAACTATTGTTACGAACTTACGAGACAGACTAATAATTAATGAGTCGACTTATCATATTTTTTTAATAAAATTAAATACTTAGATTATAAAATATAATATTTTTATTTGTAAGTATGACATTTTAATATAAAATTATGTATATTTATTAGAAACTAAAGTTTCCAATGATAATGTCGGCCTAACAATAGATTACCGAAAGAAATATGCAGGACGAAAAATATGCCATTCTTAATTAAATAAGTCCTAACGACCCTGATATTACTCAATCAATGTAGTATTTTATGTAACATAGCTCAAGGACCAAACAAAAAAGACTTGCACACACGTTTTCACACAATTTAGGACATAAAACAAAATATTGTTTCTGTTAGGTGGTACGAAATAAACTAATTAATCAGCCGTCCAAAGTCCAAAATACTATGTTCGTGAGAGTCACGTAGTGCCGTACATCACTCTCATTCTGCAGCCTTAACCTATATTAACATAACATTTCCTAGTCAAATTGCCTACCCAAATCCTCAACAACTAAACAATCAAAAGCTTTGCTAAGGCCAAGATAGAAAACATATGGCTTCTTTGTTCTTCTCACATTGGCGCCTATGCTTCTTCTTGGTGATGGCGCTCGTCAGCAAGGCTACGTCATTTGGATACTACGTGAGACCCGTCTTTCGACCCACCCCATGGAAACTTGCCTATGCCACATTTTACGGCGACGAAACTGCTTCTGAAACTATGGGTACGTTTTTGTCGGAAATGATCAGCATATACAAATTTAGGCTAAAATGCAAATTTTTAGGTCTCGCTGTAGTGATATATAACACTTTGAGTCATGTAATTTAATATTTTACTGCAATTGCAGTCTTTAACCGTTAAATTTGACAGTCAAAATGACTGAAATTGCAATAAAATTTTAAATTACATGACTTAAATTGCTAATCAACATCCATCTCATATAAATAAATTGGGATTTTTGACGCTCAAATGACTGGAATTGCAACAAAATCCTATATGTCAATCCAGTGGGAACTAAATTGTTAACTTCAAAATTTTATAGGATTAAATTTGCAATTTAGCCACAAATTTATCTATTTCATATTATTTAAGCAAATGCTAATTTTGCATTTATGTATGATATAGGCATATATACAGGGGCGAAATTACATGTATTACTAGGGGGGCAATTGCCCCCCTCAAATTTTACTTTTTTTATTATTATAATTAAAAATTTAAATTTTCCATCCTCTTAAATTATTTTTTGCATCCCAAAATTTTTTCTCATGTATTTTGCCCCATCTCAATTAATTTCCTGGTTTCGCCCGGCATATATAGCCACCAATTTGCTACCATTTATTGATGCATTGCACTGAATTAATTAATGAAGGCAATGTTTTTCATTTCTTAGATCACAAATTTGCTAACAAAAAAAATGCATCAACAGGTGGAGCCTGTGGGTATGGGAACTTGTTCAGCAGCGGTTACGGGACTGACACGGCTGCCTTGAGCTCGGTTTTATTCAACAATGGATATGGGTGTGGGCAGTGCTTCCAGCTAAGGTGCGTCAACTCACAGTGGTGCTACAGAGGGTCACCCATCACCACAGTCACGGCCACCAATCTCTGCCCTCCAAACTGGTCACAGGACTCGAACCATGGTGGGTGGTGCAATCCTCCGCGCACCCACTTTGACATGGCCAAGCCCGCCTTCATGAAGATTGCTCAGTGGAAGGGTGGCATTGTACCCATCATGTTCCGCAGGTATATTATTGTTAGTCGAAACAAATAGTCATGCTGGTTTAGCGCCACAATAATTTTAGTTGCAAAGGTCCAACATTTCGCTTTTTGATCCAGTGATTAAATATTTTGATGCAATTTCAATCCTTTGAGGACTGAAATTGCAACGAATTCCCGATTTCTTAGATCTTTTATTAGCAATTTAAGTCCTGTAATATTAAATTTTATTGCAATTTCAGTCATGTAATTTAAAATTTTGTTGCGATTCCAGTCCTCAAAAGACTATAACTACACCAAAATATTAAGTAACAGGACCAAATGGCGAAAATTTGGAATCTTGAGACTAAAATTGCTATGACATTAAACCAACAAGTCAAAAAAAGCATTTTCACCCAGATAGTAATCATGAGTATATGTAGTTCTCTTAGGGGACTACGTATTAATCAATAAAAATCTTGTAACGTCTGATTTTATTTTATTTTTCGTTAATGTATTACAGAGTGCCATGCATCAGAAAGGGCGGGCTTCGGTTCATGTTCCAGGGCAATGGATATTGGCTGCTCGTGTACGTGATGAATGTGGCGGGTGGTGGGGACATAGCAAGCGTGTGGGTGAAGGGAAGCAAGACAGGCTGGATAAGCATGAGCCATAACTGGGGAGCTTCTTACCAGGCTTTTGCTACCCTTAACGGCCAATCGCTCTCTTTCAAAATAACCTCTTACACGTCCCACGAGACTATCATTGCTTACAACGTTGCCCCTGCCAATTGGCGAGCCGGCATGACCTATAGCTCCAATGTTAACTTCCATTGATTGTGTGTGGGACTCGATTTTTAACCTTTG